CGCAGGCTGCCAGATGTTTTGACTACATGATGCATCACATCTTAGTGTTTCCAAGGTTGGCAATGGCAATATCACAGAGTCAGGATTTTTAACAAGTTCTGGTATAATCTTTCCTTATTCTTTACTTTAAAAAAGTGTTTTATAGTCAAAACATTCAGATGTTTGAATTTTCACAAACACATGCTTTTAGGAAGAGTGTTTCTAAACCATAAACAAAATCTAAGAAAACCATATTGTGTTTCTTACAGTAACTTTATAATGTAAACTCTTGGTCAGTATGGCTAAAGAATGAGATTTTCAAGTTAATCAAATATTTTTCAATTATACCAAAACTACTATAATTTTTAAATGTTAAAAGCTCAACATTAAATCTACAAAAATATGATTTGCTTGTAAGTACAGTATATCAGAAAGCGCTTAAAAATCTTGCAGGGGTTTGGTGCAAAATTGTGAATATCAGCTTAACATTTACAAGAGTTTCCTTCAACAGAGTTCTAGTTAATATTTCTGACAGTGAATTCATTGTATTAATGTTCCTTATTATTCATGGACAGACTTTTGAGGAGGAGGGACAGGTGCCATTGGAACTGGGCTAGAGAGGAAGGCAGCAGCTCACTATGACCAAAATAACCAACCCAACTCCTGACTCATGCTACTGCTCTCCCATTCTCCTTTAATCACCCTCCACCCCCACTCCACCAAACTGGTCTTCAAAGATTCTCCTCTGAAAATACAAAAGCCACCAAGGGCTGTGTGTTTGGTGTGTTGGCATTACTTGTATCTGTGTTAGCAGTTAACACCTTATCAAAGGGTAAATAAAGAAACAAAGCAGGACAGAAAAGAGTAGCATGAGGAGGGGGGAAATGGCCCTGTTAGAGAGATGGAGGTGCCCATGATAAATGTTATCTATTTCATAATTTTGCCAACCGTCTCAATTATGAGAAGCTTCTGTTGTGAATGTTGAAAACAACATTCTATGATCCTATCTTACATTGACTTCTTTTGTGCCTTGTTTCTAGAGAATTTAAATTAACCCTCAGATTCCAGATCTAATGTATTAATGTAATTTACGGTGTCTAAACTTTTCGCCTTTGTGAAAATTTTAAGAAAAATCTTAAGTGGAGTCATAAGTAAAGACAAACACAGAGATAAACACAACATTCTTCCCCTTTAGGGGAAGACAAATACACAACTACTTGTAGAGCTGCTAATCTATTGACTATACCATGGATTCCAGAAGAACAAACAAATTTGTCTTGGAAGAAGTACAGCCAAAATTTTCCCTATAAGCAAGGATGGTGATATTTCATCTCATGTACTTTGATCATGTTATCAGGAGTGATCAGTCCCTGGGAAAGGACATCATTTTTGGTAAAGTAGAGGGTCGTTGAAATGAGGAAAACCCTCAGTGAGATTGATTGACAATGGCTACAAAAACAGGCTCAAACATTCTGAGGACAGGGCAGGACCAGGTTATTTGTTCTATTGTGCATAGGGTCTCTATGAGTCAAAGCCAACTTGATAGCACCTAACAACAGCAACAATAATCTTACAATTTTTGTCATTTAAGTATTCTTGTGTTTACATCCTGTGAAGCTAAAGTATGTGGAATGATTTCTCAGTCAACTTGAATAATTCAAAAGTCTATTTTGAATGTCTATAAAAAATACTTAACAATTATAAGTAGATTTTTTGTTTCATTGCCTTTTGAAATAATTTTTCTAACAAAAACAATTACTGTGGATACTTCATTAATAATGAAAAAAATTCAATTTCAAAATTGAAATTACATTGCTCTATATTTATGCCTCACTAGGAAAAAAAATGTGCTTGGTTAAGGAAATATTCAGAGACATGCCGACTCGATGGCAAATAACAACAACAACAACAACACGTAATTATTTTACTCTGACAGTGTTAACACATATGCACATATTCAAATAAAGCCCAAAGCACAGAATATAAAAAAGTATTGGAGGATTAAGACCATAGGTCATCAATTAGGAATAGAGAATTTTATCAGAACTAATACTAAAGGATATTTAATCATCAACCCCCTTGGTTAAAAAACAAAACTAAAACAGTCACTAAACAAACAAACTTTGCTTATGTTGCTAGGGAGATAAATTCCCCTTGGAAGAAATTGGCAAGGTGATTGGAAAATAGCAGAACTCCAGGGCCCTGCTCCTAAGTGATCTATGTCTATCTCCCTACCTACTTATCTATATCTATGTCTGTATCTGTGTCTCTATATATATCTGTGGCATTTACCAAGAAATATATGCTACTAAATTATGCTCTGACTGGAAATGTAATTGATGGCGAGTAATATCTTCTGATGAACCATCAAAGTAAGTCAAATGTGTGAAAAGTTTGTGATTTCTAAGATGAATTGAGGATCCCCAGTAACCTGGATAAATTACTCATAGGTATAAAAATTAATAGGCTTTATTTGCAAAATCATTAAGTTGCAAAAACAAAGGCACTACTGGCGTTTCAAATTAAACTATACTTTGGATACAGAAAGGAAAAGAATTAGATGGTACAGTAAATGAGAGCAAACATTTCTGTTTCACTCCTATTTCAAGGTATAAGCCAAATAAAACCAGTGTTTCAAAGGAACTCCAAAGTTGGTAGAAATATTAGTAATTTAGTCTATCCCTGCTTCTTTTTACCAAATCCAAAAAAAAAAAAAAAACCCAAAAAACAAAAAAACCCCAAAACCTCACTGCTGTCAAGTCGGATCCGACTCACAGCAACCCCTCCTTGAGTTTCCGAGGTGGTATCACTATGGAAGTAGATCGCCAAACCTTCCTTCCAAGGAGTGGCTGGTGGGTTTGAACCGCCAACCTTCTGGTTAGCAGTCAAATGCCTTAGGCACTATGCCACCAGAGCCAAATATGTATTCATATTTTCCATCAAAAACATTTTTAAAAGTTTGGGCTATTATTTCTCCTGTCTGTGATTATAGCCAGGTATATATAATGGAAATTTTTGACTATTGGTTAAATGTCATTTTTTGGGAAAGAGATTAGAATTTAAAAATATAAATAAACAAACATATTATAAGTCAGATTGTAAAAGTCTTTTGTGTGTGTGTGTGTGGGGGGGAAAGGTTCCACTCAGATGATATCATTGATATCATACTTCCTAAGGCCTTGGAAGTTTTATCTTTAACATTAATGGTCAATAGTAAACAGGAAAAAAAAATATTGGGCTCTGAAATTTTGGTTAGCATATTGATTACAGTTAAGCTTGGCAGCAAAGATTTGTGAGTTGTACTGCAAGCCATCTATTTGCTATTACAGCAGTGCACAAGCAAAAATAATTAAGTTAGGAAGTGTATTCAGAATCTTACATTTGTCTGTTCTCTTAAAATTAAAAACATAGACGTTGTTCTAGGTAGTTCAAGTTTAACACCCTCTTTTAGAATATTCAGAAAATTCAGTTTAAATTTTTTTTGGGGTGTTTGAATTTACCAGATTTTTCTTCATTTCTTTATTCACAACAAATTAATTTTCAAACAAAAAAAAATATTGTGGAAAGTTTTGCCTCCAGTAGTCAGTTATGAATTTTCTGAAGATAGATTCTATTTATTAAGACCTTCCTATTTTATCCCTGTGAAAAAATTGTGCAGAGGTAATAAATAGACAATATCTAAAATTTTAAGTATCATTCTTCAGTGCAGATGAAGCATAAAACTATAGTATCCTTTAATTTTTTCAGAAGTCATTTGAATGTCTCTTTGTTATTAAACTCTTCAATTTCTGTAGATTTTATAAGAAACATGCAGATCATATATACTATATATATTTAGAAATATATTTCAGTCATTAATTATGTTCATTAAATGTGGTATAGCTACTTTAATAATTTTCAAAACAGAATGATGTCAGTAATATGGGAAATGCTTCTTGATTTCTGGTAGTGCTGATTCAGTATTGTTATAAAACTTATAAATATGATACAATACTATGTGGGATGTAAAAGTAGATTATAGTCCAAAAGAATTTTCCCACAGACCTGAAAATTAAGTATCGGATAATACTAAGTCATGAACATAGCAACATATTTATATATCTATTTTCAACTGCTTTAAAAAACACAGAACCAAGATCCTCGGTAGTCACACATGATACACACACCAGGGTGAAGACACCGCATATGATGACTGTATTAGACCATCTCTGGAATGGAAAAGAAGCCCAAACATCAGACTTGATGACTAAAGCATTTAAGAACAGCAAAAAGAGCTCAGATCACACTTTAGCAAGCTGAGTTAGCATTTCATTTTTCTAAAGCATGCACCTGCCTTTATAAGTAAGAATCAACTATGTGAATGAATAAGAACTAGAGTCAAGGTTAAAGTAATCTTGCCCAAGAGAGTATTTGCAGATCAGGGAACATTAATAACTACCAGAGTTAGCACTTCCCCTGAAAAATATTAGAGCCACCCGGACATATGTTTGAAATTCATCCTCCCAAGTCATCCTGAGACTATTGGGATGGATGACAATGTCCCATCATCCGGAGGGGGCAAAATACAGAAGAAATCATTCAGAAAAAACAATAATAGGAAAGTGGCAACGTGCTCAAACTGTCAAGAACGCTTTGCACATGAGTGAAGGAAAAGCTTTGTCTTTCCTATTATTGTTTGTCCTTCAGTTGACATACGTGTCGAGATGCATCAGTAGGATTACAACAGAAACATGGTCATCTCCGGGTTTTCCTCTGTTTGGATTCCTTGAACCTGTTTAAAGATACAGGCTCAGGGAATGCACAGAACACAAACTTCCCCCAGCCGAAGTTCCGAGGTCTCGCCTCACCTTCTCCTACCCTCGGACCCGGGTCTAGTTTTGCCGACAGCACTGAACAGAAATGTCATGGTCATGTTGCACCATTTCACTTGTTGAATTGTGTAAAGGCAACAGTAAGTTGGTGAGTCTTTGCTCTTAAATTAGCCCCCAATATTTCTTTCCAGCTCAATGGAAAGGTCTTACCTGCATGTGTCCCTGGTACATTCTGCTTCGGTTTCTTCAGGGCTCCTTGAGGCCGCCGAATGCTTTCCCCCTGTGTTTACTTGCACACCAAAAGAGAGGAGAAGGTGGCGTTCACCCTCGGTTCTCCAAGAGTGCCCTTGACCCCCCTGAGAGGCTCCAGGTACCCTGGCCAGCCGGCGGCCCCCGGGGCAGCTCTGCGGGTGCCGGGAACTGTTCTCCGCTCCGGGTGCTGAAAGAGGCAGGAGAGCCTCGCGGAGAAGGCAGGAGCCCAGCGGGACACGCTCTTCCGCAGGCGAAGGTCCTGCTCGCCCTGCGTCTCTAAAACTCACTCCTCCACCAAACTCTTTGTCGCTTCCTGCCGGGCTGCCTCATGTCTCTCTCACTCCCTTCGCTGCGAACCCCCTCCTCCCAGCCCTGACGTGAACGTCCACACCAGCCGCCGCTGCAGCTGCCGAGCTGGGCGCGCGCCGCCCTCCTGGCCACGTTCCCGCCGAGAGACCGTGAGGCTGGGCACGCGCGCGCGCGCCCCCGGCGGGCCGAGGAGCGGCCTGAGAGCGGCCCCGGGCGGTCCGCGCCCCTCGCTCGCGTGTTCGAGAATGCGCGCGTGCAGCGTCTCCAAAAAGTGCCCTCGGGCGGTGGTCGCTGCAGGGTTAAACGCTTGGAGCAAAGCATTCAGGTGCTGTGTGGACTTCCAGGGCGATTCTGAAGAGGGGATAGCCAGAGAGAAGGAAAGGGGAAGGAAAATGCATTGTCTTTTCCCGGGCTATCAACACCGATGGAGCCCATTAATGACATAACATAATAGGCCAAACTGGGGGGTTTCCAAAGAGTTTACTTCTGCTCTGAATGAGCACTTGAAACTTATATTTGCAACAACCCCAGAATAAAGACTCCCTTATCCCCAATCAATTGCTGACCATTCTATTTAAAATTGTAAACCTTAATCCCTAAGGCTCTTTCATACTGTTTTTCACCATAACACTTAAACACTTAACATTATCATACATATATATATATATATATATATATATATATATATATATATATATATATAGAGAGAGAGAGAGAGAGAGAGAGAGAGAGTGTGAGTCTGTTTCCCCTTCTGTAAAATGTAATTTGCATAAGATTAGGATTTTTTTTTCAGGTGAGGAGATGTCAATTTTTTCACCACTGTACAGCAAACCAAACCTAACCCACAGCCATTGAGTGGATTCCTACTAATAGCGACCCACACTGGATTTCCAAGGCTATAAATCTTTACAGAGGTAGATTGCTCATCGCCCTCCCACAGAGCAGCTGGTGGATTTGAACTGCTGACCTTCTCCTTAGCAGCCGAATGCCTTAACCATTATGCCACCAGAGCTTCTAATGTATTCCGGCAAGGCACAATACCTCCTGGCACATAAGTAGACTATAAATATTGGTAGAATGAATGCATCTTTGCTATGTAATATATAGGTAGGGTGCATTTAAATATGTCCCAAGTTTAAGAGACTGCATAGTTTTAGGTAGTCTGTTTGACTGCTAACCAGAAGGCTGGTGGTTCAAACCCACCAGCCACTCCTTGGAAGGAAGGTTGGGCAATCTACTTCCATAGAGATACTGCCTCAGAAACCCAAGGAGGGGTCGCTATGAGTCAGATTGACTCAATGGCAGTGAGTTTGTTTTTTGTTTTTGTTTTTTTTTTTTTTTTTTACATTCCAAGTGTGTATAAATGCACGTAACACATACCATGGGCTGGTATATGTGTGTATACTGTGATTACCTAGTTTAGTTGGTAAAGAGAGCTCCAGTCATACAGCAGCATGCCCTCAAAATTATATACATCATGATATAATCTAAAAAATACTGCATATAGCGAGATGCAGTTTTGATAAAGTTAGAAAGCTAAAGTGAAAGTATAAACAACACACACACAATAAAACTATATAAAAAGGAAAACAGTGGAACAATGAATACAGTATTCAGAATGTTGGTGACTGGGTGAGAAGAGACAGGAGAAAGTGATGGGCAGATGTTTTAGATGGAAGTTAATTGTCAATGTCCTAACTTTTATGTTGGGTAGTGATTCATGGGGTACTTATTACCGTATTATGAATTGCTGTGTAAATAAAAGAGAGCCATGCGTGAACCAGTGAGGGGAGCTTGAGATGAATTCAGAATTTTGATTGATTTTTGCATACGAGGTCCTGAAACAATCAACCCACCAATCAGCCAATCAAATAAACATAAAAAGAATATGATTTATAGGCAGGAGATGAGGACTTCTGTAAGATTCCGCCACAAGTTAACCTTAGACAACTTCCTTTACCTTCTTGGAATTTGAATTTTGTCATGTATAAACCCTGCATGATAAATTCATTTTTTATCATGACAGTTGAAATAATAGTCATAAGGATTATAAGCCTTAATAGAAGCTCTGGTAGCATAGTGCCAAAGGCATTTGACTGCTAACCAGAAGGCTGGCAGTTCAAACCCACCAGCCAATCCTTAGAGGGAAGGTTGGGCAATCTACTTCCATAGTGACACTGCCTCAGAAACCCAAGGAGGGGTCGCTATGAGTCAGATCCAACTTGACAGCAGTGCGTTATGAGCTTTAAAGTGCCATCTAGTTCTTGTTTCACTGTCCTTTGTAAGAGAGAGCGTTGGACTGGTAGTCAACACATAGGAATGTTAGTTCTATCTCATCACCACATTGGTCTCATGGACAAGTGTATTGAGTGAATTTCCTAACTGAAAGAAGGCAAATATCTGTCCAGCCTGCTACAGACGGTTGTTGTGAGGGCTAACTGCATGAAAAAGGAGTTTTAAATGATAAACTGTCAAGTGTTCTAATGTGAATGGACTTTTTGCCAGTCCCAAAAAGGGGAGTGCTGATTTCTTGTGACATCAAGCACTACAAATTTAAATGACAGGGGAGAGTTACTTTAAAAATACTGGAATGTTGGCATATAAACCTGGGGAAAATTCTAAACTGGTGTTTTGATTTGAAAGTGCTAGAAGTCTGAAAAGGAACAAGACCAACATTTTCCAATCCATGATGAGAGGGATGAATGAAATGTCTGCACAGAGGCTCTACTATTCTATCATCAAAAGGCAGATTCAAGGAGCCATCAACCACAAATGGGTTTAGATAATCATGACAACTACCTAGAATTGAAGACAGAAATCTGTGTGTCCTTTATTGAAATCCAAGTAACTCATTTAGTTACCTCAAACATTCACAACATCTGAGGAATGGGCGTTTAGTTCATCCCTCTCTTCATTCATTCAAAAATATTTATTGAGAACCTGGTATGTGCAAGTGCTGTGCCAAGTGCTGGAATACACTGATGAAGAAAGCAGACATGGTTTCTTTCTGTCTCTATGAAATCCACAATCCAACTTTCTGACAAGTATACATCACCATTCCAGAAAGATAAATCTGTATAGACTTCTCTTTTTAAAAAACACTATAGAGTTTCCACAACTCTCTCTAAGAGGTAGCATCAGACCTCTGATAGTCAAACATTTTCCCCCCAGTTTTGAATTCTAATACTCACTGTTATACCACCCACTGCTATTGAGTCGGCTCATAGCAACCCCTCCTTGGGTTTCCAAGGCAGTATCACTACAGAAGTAGATTGCCCAATCTTCCGTCTGAGGAGTGGCTGATGGGTTTGAACTGCCAGCCTTCTGGTTAGCAGTCAAATGCCTTAGGTACTACGCCACAGAACTCCCCACTGCTGTGTGCACACTTCTTTAAGCCTACAAATACAAGCTTTGTGCCCAACTCACTTAGCTGATTATCAGTTCAAATATCAGTATCTCAAGATACTACTGATTCACAGAAGCATCCAGCAGTTTGTACATTTCCTATGGCTAAACCAAAAATGTTCACTCAAATGTAGCATTTTAGCTCAAGAAGTTTGGTGTTTTGGTGTAAAGAGAAATGTTTCACCTCCTAGTAGATATGCCAATGTCAAATCGATAGGCTAAAGCAGACATCAGCTGGATTCCGGTGAACTTTAAAAATATAATGATTCACGTAACAACAAAAAAATGGAATCATAATTTAATTATATTCATACAAATCCTTTTCACAAAGTAGGTTGCTTGAAGAAATGTGGGAACAACAAAATGTGTGTAACTTGCTTTATCCTTTGACTGCAGTAATGATAGGAAAGCAATTCTTGTGTAATCCCTATTCCCCTAGGGGAATCATTATGGCAGAAGGCAAACAAACTAACTGGGAGATGTAGCAGTTTGGAAAGGTGTGGTTCTCTTGGAACAAAGGCAAATGGCAACAGCTTTATGGCTGCTTTTATGATACCAGAAATATCTGAATGAAAATGGAAATATCTGCCAAACAATTAAATCATTTTATTTGACCTTTCACAGGATCTTCTAGTTTTCATATCAATGTAAAAACAACTTTGAAGATTAGTTTCTAAATTGTGCCAAACTTTGACAAATATATTTATCATAAAACGTAAAAGAAGAATGTCTGCATACACACTGGGGAAGGAACGGTTAATAATGAATATTTTTTTAACTGCACCTGCACACAGGTGTGTATCTCACTCTCAGTAATGCCACCATCAGCAGCAGTCTGAGGTATAAATGGCATGATTGTGCAGCTAATCCCAGAACAATTCATTTTAAGGCAGGTATTGTGCCTGAGGAAAATAAAGATCTTCCATATCTCATTTCTTTTATGTTGTTGTTTTTCAAACTAGAATAGGCATGATTTAGTACCAGATCCCTGGTTCAGATGATATTTCTCAATTTGTAATAAATTCAAAGACCCTTGTTACTCAAAGTGTGGAAAGCAGCATCAGTATGCCCTTGGGGCTTATTAGAAACGCAGAGTCTGTGGCCCCACCGGTGGCCTGCTGAATCAGAACCTACATTTAAACATGATCCCAGGTACACTGTATGCATCATAAAACTTGAGCAGTGCTGTGGCCTAGAAGCATCCCTGCATGGAGCAAACGGTTATGTTCTGGACTACTGGCTAAGAGGTTGGTGGTTTGAACCCATCCGGAGGTGTGTTTAAAGGGAGCTCTGGTGGTGCAGAGGGATTTGACTGCTAACCAGAAGGTTGGTGTTTCAAACCTGGCAGCGTAAAGATTTACTGTCCTGGAAGCCCAGTGGGAGGTCACTATGAGTCGAAATTGACTTGATAGCAGTGAGTCTGGTTTTTTGAAGAGGTGTGCTTGGGAGACAGGTAAGTTACTCTGCTTCTGAAAGATCACAGCCTTGAAAACCCTGTGGAATAGTTCTGCTTTGCACACATGAGTTTACCATGAGTTGGAATTGACTCAACAACTGTGGCCTAGGTTTATTTATTTAATTAATTATTATTTAT